CAGAAGTGAATCTTCGGGGGAGAGGAGACAGGCGTGCTGCTGGGCACTTGAGCAGAATTATCATTTAATCCTCACATGACACAGTGAAACTCATGTTATTATTTATATTCTTATAGAAAAGGAAACTGAAGCTTAGAATGTTTTCCCAACTTAACAGGTCATGTAGCAAGTAGCAGAATCTACTTTTAAATACAGGTCTCCAGCCCTGGCTGGTGTGGCTCAGTGGATTGAGCATCAGCCCACACCAAAGGTGGTGGTTCAGTTCCCAGTCAGGCCACAATGCCTGGGTTGCAGGCCAGGTCCCCAGTAGGGGGTGCGTGACAGGCAACAACACATTGATGAGTTTCTCTCCCTTTCTCCCTCCCATTTCCTGTCTACAAATAAATAAATAAATAAATACAGGTCTTCATAATTCGAAAGTTTCCTAATCTAGAAAGTTTGGGAGAAGTTGGGGAAGGCGTTCACCCCACTGTTTCTAAAACTTGCCCTGGGAAAGGCTGCAACAACCCCCGTGAGATACGCATGGTCGAAGAAGGTGGGAGGCACTGCTTAGCCCGCCCTGCTTTTGGAGATTTTCAGTACACATTTTCAGTAAAGATCCTATGAATTCCTGCTATGAGGACTGTTTATGCTTAATCAGTGGTTTCCAAATGCGTTTGACCACCGAGGCTCTCTCCACCAACCATTCGTCGTTGTTACTGCCATTCTGGGAATTGCTCTTCGTTTCCGTGTGGTAACAATATAATTAATGTTCTGCGGACCTTGACTTATAATTTGTGAAAACCCAGTTTTCTTATAAGAGAGTCAGAGTTGTATCAGAGACAGGCAGCCTTCAACACTGTCTTTGTGCGTGTATGCCTGTGTGTGTTCATGAGAGAAACAGAGAGAAATAGCACACCTGAGAGCTACAGCATGCCTAATTGGGAAGAGAGAGCAGGTGACTGCAGGTAAACAAATTCTGTCACTTTGCTTCCTTTTCCCACAAGTGAGCTCAAGGATCTATCCAACTTTCCTTCCTACCCTTCATTACCTGAATACTGCAAATGGGGAGTTTATGGGGAATAATTTTGTCAGAGATTAGCCTGTTTTGCTGGTATTGGAGTGCAGAGAGAAGGAAAAGAAGGCAGAGACGTGATCTACTTGGTGGTGTGGACAGATGATGCTGGGACTGGGATGTGACAGAATGTGCCAGCTTCTCTTAGGAAAGCGAGGCGGGGTGAGGACCCAGCTTCTCTGAGCTATTGCACTTGTGCCCCTGACCACCAGCCAGGGAGGCCTAAGTCCCCTCTAGAGAGAGGGGTTGACAAGAAAGTTTGAGGATGTCCTCTGAGGAATTGGCAGAGCTCAGTGTCTGCCTGGGCACATGTTCTTCCACAGTTGTGTGTCTCAGCTAGATGAGGCCAGACTAGACGCTATGTGAAGCTTCCAGCATATTAATGCTCAAACAAGACTTGATGATCTGACCATGTTCACAGAAGGGCTTCTGAAATTGATCGTTATGGAATTCTTCAGAACTCTGCCTGGTCAATAGCCCAGTGCAGGCCCTTGAGCTGTATGCTAAACCACTCATGAAGATGCGGAATGAGAGAAAGTCCAAAGCATTAGAAACTGAGATGTATAAATAACTCATTGTCAGGATTTGGAAAATCTTGTCATTAAAAAAAACACAAATGGAATTATTTTAAGAAATAAAGAAGTACCAGTGGTGACATGACCTGGTCTAATGCCATAGAACATATCATTAAGGCAATAATGGATGTTTTCTTCCTTCCACATCATCTCCTCAGACTTAAGAACGAGGCCCTGTATCCACAAGATGAGCAGGGTGTCATCCCCCAGTCCTTCGCCTCCCACCCACTTTGTTAACTCTGAGGCAGGAACTGTAAACCTTAGAACTCAACAAGGTGACGTGCAGCGCAGGGCTTGGGCAGCATGCATTCTGGAAAGTTCCATCCTATAAAGAAAACAGTGAAGCCCAAGCCTGAAGAAGGAAAAAGTTTGCAGAACACAGCAAGTTGGCATGACCAGATCTCCTGTACTGTGTGAACTCAGAGCAGGAGAGAAGTAAGGCAGGAAAGCTGCAGGCAGAGGACGCCCTAGTTAAAAGCTCGCTAGAGATGGGGCGTGGATCCAGGAGATGTGCTCATGAACCCACCCTCGTACTTCAGATTTGAGAAGGGGAATCAACAAGTGGGAACAGAGCAGGAAAAGGGCTCCTTTCACCCCGTCTGAAAATAAATGTGATGAATCACTAGATCTCACTTTTCTTTCAGGATGGACAATAACAGGAGGAAAACAGCATGGGGACTGTGAGGGAAAATGACCTCCAAATAGGAAATCTGGCATACCATTGGAGAAAATAAGGAAAGAGAGGTATTTCTTTGAGTGATCCATTCATTCATGGTCCCAAAGAAAACTTGGGGAAGTGGTTTGGTGCACTTGGCGTTGAGCAGAAGGACACAGTCAGGGTGACACATGAGCAGGAGCCACGCAGAGGGGTCAGACTGAGGGTGAAATGTTGGACTCCGATGAGGTCCCGTGGAATTTCCAAGAGTCATAAAGCACTGGAGCAGCACTGAAGTTTACACCGAAAGTGGGTAGAACTGAGGTGTGAAAAATGTATCAATACATGAAAGACAAATTTGTACACTTTTTCCAGAATGCAGATGCAATAGACAAAAGAGGAGAACAATGCCAAGCAAAAAAGATGATGCACACCGAAGACAAATACAGGTGACCAACTTGCAAATAACTGTTATTTCAGAATGGAACCCTGCAAAAAGTAGAAGCAACATAGAATTATAATGAGAACATTTTCTGCAAATTCCTCCAAATGTAAAGTCAAAGAAATGACACATACACCTACCTAGACATTTGCATAAAGGCAAACAAAGTAGGATAAAGATAAAAATCAATTATGGTCTGAATGAGAAAAACAGGTTTTCTACAAAGAAACACACATTAATTTAGCTTAGTTTCTCATTTATAAACTTAAATGCCAGTAGGCAATAAAGCAGTGTTTTTTCTTTCTCAGTGAAGAGTGTTTTGGACCCAAGAATTTTAGACTTGGTCAATTGCAAGAAGGCCATAGAAATACATTTTCTGACAAACAAAAGGCCATAAAATACACCAATCACATAGTTATCTTACCTGATAAAATTATTTGAAGATCCACTCCAATTAACCAAGAAGTGAAGCAAACTGCCGAGCTCAAGGGCTCAAGAATGGCGGTGCCATAATATAAACAGGGTGAGTCTGAGTGCAGGCCGGGCTGGGTAACTACTCCCCTTCAGAGCACACATCCGTCAGAGCCTGGACAGGTGCACTGGTGTGGATGTGGGTACACAGGTATATTGATATGGACATGGATATAGACACATGGAGATATCTACATATACAATTATAAGCAAGGCTATATATTATATGAATAATATAATTAATACAGGGGATATAAAATGTCACACATCCTTACAAGCTGAGAAGCTAAAAACCAATGCCTATAAAACATACAGAAACCAATTATATGTTAACTCCTATAGACAGCATCAAAATTTCCAAAGAAACAGTGCTGCAAGCCTGAGGGTCTTGATCCCTGGCCTCGTCCAATCATAATGAGACTTTAATAATGAAAGGTTAGTCTGTGAAAGCATCAGTAAATGGATAAGCAAAGTCTTCAAATAAACCAGGTTGAGTTTTTGGATTTTTGGTTTCAGCCGAAGGGCTACATGTGGGCAGTCTTTGGAAGACAACTGCTTTCGGTGGCTCCAGTCTGAGGCATGGGTACTCGATGAAGAGGGTGTCGCATCGCCCACCTGAGGGAACGCCAGTCGTGAGATTTGGAGAAGACAGGAATTTTTTCTTAATAGTTCTTATTACCAAGTGGTGCCTCACCCTTCAGGTCGAATTGCTTTTGTAACAAATGTAAAGAGGAAATTTGACTCCAAACTAGTCAAAAACGTCCTGTGGAGAATGAGAGAAACAAAATATTTGCCAGATAGAGAATGTGCTCAGTCACCAGCTGTCTATCTCAGAAACACCCAGGGTGGGGGCGCTTCACAAATGAGGGCATAGTATCACCAAGTCCCATTCTTGGCCTCCCCCTTGGTCTGCCTTGAACAAACTTACCTGAAATAGTCATTGTTCTTTGCTTCAGTTGAAAAACCAGTTCTCCAGGACTGTAAAGTCTGCCCGGAAGTCCAGGCCCCGACTTCTGGCTCTTCTCTAAGCCCTTCTTGGTGGGCTGCCTGCAGTGTGGTTTCAGGCTGGGGGCCTGTCAGTGCAGCTCAGGGCCCCTTGGCTGTGCTCCACCAGTGGTTTGGGGTGGCTCTGCTTCCTTCCTTGGCTTGGGTGTCCATCTGTGTCCTGTGTCCTATTTCCTGTGTCCTCTGTCCTCCATCCTGGGCAGCAGGATGTCTCTCCCTGGAGCACAATGGCTCAGATACCATCTCAATGGCTTGCAGTCCTTCTGGGGCACAAAGGCCAAACTGTTCGTGGTCTCCTGGAGCCAGGGTGGGTCACTCCTTCAGTTCCTGAAACAATAGCTTTTCACATGCATTAACTACTAAGCTTACTAACTATTACCTAAAACTAAAATTTTCCAGCTCTTGAATTCCCTTATCAAACTCTGTCCCAGCTCTACTTCCACGAAGAGGGCCGGGTTGCCAACACGTGTGTTCCTAAAACGACTAGAGGGTGACAAGGGAATTCAGGAATGTCTCAATACCTTTCAGCCAGGAGTTGTTCACTGCCATTCCTGCTCTTCAGCAGACCAAGAGGGTATGTGCAGAGAGGGCTATGATTCTTTAGTTGTAAAGAAATATTTTATTTAGCATCACTTACTTTGTGCAAAGGTTGTAGATTCATTCCACTTTGGTGGGAGCAGGAAAAGAGCAAGGAAAGACTGTTGCATATGGGAAAAGCTTTCGTAGGGACAATCCCATGATGCTGAAGCACGGGAATAGCCTCCTAACCTAACTGGGCCAACTTGTTTTCTTTCTCAGTGGAAACACAACGCACTCTATCATCAGGCAGAGCTGCTCCCAGCCTCGCTGTGGTGGAACAACGCATCCTAGTCGAATTCCACCTGTGCCGCGATGTTTGGCCAGTGGCCTAAAATACTTGGCCGCAGAGGATGGAAATTAGACTGTGAGTAACTGGTGTGATTCACTCACCTCTAAATTTAGTGTAAGCAAAACTCCCGTGGGCGGTGAGGTGGCAGTGGGGAGGGGAACAGGTTGTAGTAGTTATAGCACTTGTTTTCAGCCCTGAATAAGAAATGAGCACATGAACTTGAACCCAGTGACTCATCAGTAATTGAGAGATAAAGTACTAGATTCGAGCACACAGTCTGGCCACGTTCAGGACTCACAGATCCCCTGAGCTGGTCTGCAGCACTCCGTGGGACTCCTTCTCACAGTAAAACCTTCTAAGGCTGGGGCTGAGCTTGTAAGTACACAATGCTTCTGGACTGTTTTTAAAGCAAATGGATATCTATTAATATTTTTGCACCTCAAAACCACACTACCCTGTAGTGGGGCAGGTATAACATTGTTTTCCCCATTTGCCAGATAAGGAAACTGAAGATCAAAATGGGTAGATAGCTTGCCAGTGTCACAGAGCTAATCAGTGCCTGTCCAGTTCTTAAACCCACAACAATTACGTACTATTTAAATTTATGGAGTCCCTCGTACATTCCAGCTTCCTTCGCTCCAACCCTGTGCTCTTCCCACCGTATCAACATGTGTTATCCTCAGGCCCCACGTCAGTGTCAGTTCGAGTGTCCTCTGGGCTCTTGGGCATAGCCCTGGCCCTGCATTTCCTCCAGACAGACATTCAGGATGGCCAGCTTTGTCTCTGCCAGGTCTAGGAAGAGCTGTTGGCAAACTCCCAAAGGTTTTAGAAACCCTTCTCTTTCTGAGGCTCCACAGACACGCTCTCTGTCCTGAGTGGTCTATGCCTTCTGACCTGTGCACCTAGAGAGCAGGTCCTGTGCAGAAAGGATTTCATGTCTTTTCACCCAGAATGCAGTCTCAAATGTAGGAGAGCCCTACTATGTGTTCATGAGAATATTTATTATTATTATAAAAATGTTATTGTGAATGATAACAATAATGACAATCACACGGTATTACCAACACACTGCACTCTAGATGCTTCTGTGTACTTAGTTCAATCACTCCTCATGAAACACTTTGCAGGATGGAAAACTAACATGGCCAGTGGCCCCCTTCTGAAGCACAAGTCTGGAACTACCCCCAAGGATTGAGGAAGACAAAGACAGCCCTAGCCAACCTACACAAACCACGAGACACGTCTGGGTAACAGGAGGACGAACACCACAGATGAGTGATTGGGCCAGGGAGGAAGTTCTGCATGTGCACTTCCCCGCCCCTACCACCCCCACATTGCCCTGGGAAGACTGTGCCCGCCCTGTTACCTCTGAAAATCAAAATCAGCAGCCCACCCAGCAGGGCTCAGGGATACCTCATCAGGGTGGGATTGGAGGCAAGGCACAGTCAGGGCTCATAGCCACAGATATGAGACAACTGGACCAACGCGTAACTGAGCTTTTCCTCTTTAATCACTAACCTTCCCACCCCAAGGGGCTGGTCAGGTGATGACTAATGAAAGAGAAAGAGAGCCAGTGCTAAGATACAAATGCAGCTCCAGCTCTCCGGCTGAGAGGCCTGTCTTTATCCCCCACCCACTACCTAAACTCCTGTGGACATAAAGGAGCCAGACTTCGACCGTTTCCCACAGGTTCTTACCACCACCTGAGATACCCACTGTGTCTATGGGAACATGAGCCCAGGGGAAAAATAGCAGGTTAACTAAGGAGCAAACCACACTGAGAGGAAGAAAGCAGCGTGCACAGCCCACGATGGAGAAAGGAATGTTGATAGACCCTATCAGGCAAGACACCACCCCAACCAAATGATCAAACTTAGCATCTCCAGTAATGGGACAAATCGACTTCATATGACTCTGGATATGCTGCACAGACAAGATCACACTTAGGTACTATGTACCAATATCATTCTTCTACACCAGTGTATTAGTCACGGTTCTTCAGGAAGTAGAACCAATAGGATTTGTGCTCGTGTGTGTGTGTATATCAGAGGATCTCTTCCCCTCCCTCTTTCCCATTATCTCTCAACATATAGATATCTATAGAGAGATATGCATATACATATAGAAATAAGGAAAGAAACAGAAATAGAAAAAATGATATCTTAAAGAAATGGTACTATAAACAGTAGTAAGGAGAGGTGTACTGACTGGAGATTTTTTAATGAATGATATTCAGAAAACTGGCTTACTGTATGCATAAAAATAAGTTTGGGGGCACAGTTTATAGCATATATGAGGGACCTACCAAGATATAAAAGGCCCGTATAAAAAAGTAAAGCTATAAAACAGAGGAAGGGAAACATGACACCTATTTTAATCATTAGGTAGGGAAGTACTTCTAAAATAAGAATCCCAAAGCACAAACCATAAGGCAAAACTTGGATTGACAACATCAAAATTAAAGACCTCTGTTCAATGAGCTACTCTATAGATTACGCTAACATATGGGTGACAGATTAGAAGAACATATTGGCAACTTTAAAAAGCAATAAGGGATTAATCTAGAAAATACAAGAGACTTCTATGAATCAACGAGAAACAAAAATGAACACAATAGAAAAACAGACAAAGCTTATGACTATCCGATTTAAAGAAAGGAGAGCATAGAAGGACAACAGGTGTATGAAGAGATTCTCAACCTTGTGCCTGAAAGTGTAATAGGAGAAACGAAAATTAAAACAATGCAGCCATATCACCTCACAGCTCTCTGAATGAAAATCAGAGAACACCCAGAGGGAGCAGGTGCTTGGGAAATGGGATGTCTCCTGAACTGGGGGCGGGAAGACGGACAGTACAGCACCTTCTGGAGAGCAGTGTGGAGAGGTGGGGTGACCACAGGAACACATAAGCCCTCTAGAGGTGGCAGTGGCCTGGCCTGTGATGAGGAGTGGGAACACTGATGTCACCAAGGAAAAACAAACAGAGCAGCAACCAGATCATGCAATCCCACTGTGGTGTAAAATTCCATTGCTGTAACAAGGTGGCCCATTGATGCTGATGTTACCCACACCCACCCTCGCCCCCACCTAAAACAGCAAAAGGCACCACGCAAGGCTCTGGGCCTCTCAGCTATGGCATAGCTTTCACTCTGCCAGGCCAGCGGAGACCTCTAAACTTAGGAGTCCCCTTGAGTTAAAAAAGAGACCCTAGGGAGCTGTGACCATTCAAACACCATAGATCCTTGATCTGAAGTATATCATTGTCACACAAACAGATGAAAAATTTAAGCTTAGCCATATCGAGGTCGTCATTCTCACCAATTCATGACTCTGGACCAGCCTTTGTAACTTTGTCTAACTGACCCTGATCCTAAAATCTGACTACTAGGTGTGTATCCCAGAAACGCTTATATACAGGACATGAAAGACATGAACAAGAATACTCATAATTTCGTTGTGGGGCATGGGGTAGCACTGGAGCCCAACTGAGTGTCTTATCAACAGTGGAATGGATAAGTAAAATGGTTGATTGATGGAGTCTCATATGATGAGTAGGAACTATACAGGTAAAGAAGTAAGGGGAAGTTTGGCCCCAAAGAGGAGACAGCATCTACATGGGAGTCATGTGTTGGGAAAAAAAGTGAAAAAGACCTTTCAGGTACTTTAAACAATTGCATGTTGAGAACTGGGTGGCGTGGTCAGATCACTGCTCGCAGAGGGGATAGACTGGAGCAAGGGCAGGTGAGAAGGCGGGAAGACCAGCAAGGTGGCTGGTAGAGCTCAGGAAGATGTTCAGGCTTAAATGGGACTGGGGGTGGCACTAGAGAGGAAAGGGTAAATGTGAAAGGGATTTAGGAAGAAGAATATGATGCAAATGAGGAAGAAGGGACACATTTAAAGTAATCCCATTGCTTCTGACTTGAAATGAGTCGATGGTTATATCAATTGAGATCAGAAATTCAGGGGAGTATATTCTAGGGTTAACAAGTACAAGGCTATGAATAATTAAGTCATTGGTTCTGTTCAGAATTTTCAAGTTCAGTGAACAATAAAACCACACAGACAAGTGGTATCACAGTAATTAATACAGGTAGGTAGTCATGGCATCAGGGAGGGGAGATTCGCTACCCTGGGGGCACATCCGTAGTAGTTCAGAGTACAGACTGGAGTCAGCCACCAGGGTTTGAACCTAGTTCTCCCTCTGACAGATTGTGTTCCTTGACCTTTCCATGTCTCAGGTTCTTCGTCTGCAAAATAGGAATCATGGCAGTGCCTGTCTCACAGGGTTGATGGGGGGTTTCATTAGGACAATGCTGGGAATGTACATAGTGCTTCAATAAATTGGTGCTAAGGCATCAAGGAGAGCTTTATAGAGGGGGACATCTGCAAGCCCAGCTCTGCCAAAGGGCTAAGGTGTTTTTTAAGTGGACCAACCACATACATGTCAGACAAAAGGGAAAGTGCATAGGCAAAGTCATGGAGGCAAGATAGAGCAGAGGATCTGGGGGCATTTGACTAGCTCCATGTGCCTGGAGGGTGCTGTTTATGACTGGAACGAGAGGTAGATGGTGCTGGAAAGGGGTTGGGGCCCTGTGGAGCCCTGGCTTATTAAAGCATGCTCTGGGCTATGCTTTGTCATCCTCCTTTCCACTGCTTACTATCTCCTCTCTTTGGCACTCCCTTCCCTTTTTCTGCTTTCTGCCCTGGTCTTGCAGATGACTACTCATGGATGTATGTATTTGGCTAAGAATTTGACCCTGTATATTCTTTCCTGTCTCCTATAACTGATCCCCAAACCAAAGCAAGTTATTCCATATTGCTTAAACATCTCTCTAGGCCTTCCTGGGTCTTATAGAAACACATGTCACTCCCGTCACTGTATTGGACCACACATTGTTCAGGATCTTACTCTTGAAAACTCATCGATCCTTAGACTTGACATTCTGCATTATGCTTCTGGATATGGCCCTTTCCTCTTGATCATATGCGTATCCTTATGCCATTTACCCAGTCTGCCTCGGGTACTTTCCCTTTTGGACTGACCTGTCCCGGAGTGTCCATCTGGGCTCTAGTGTT